TTTGGTGCTTCCGTATGCACTTCATGGGTAATTGTTTCCTTGCTTGTTACTGTTCTGATTGTTATATTATTTTTAAGTGTAATTTTTCGAAATTCGCTTAATTCAGAGTCTACTAAACTTATATTCGCTCCCGTTTCTATAAGCGCAATATATTTTTTATTTTTAATTGTTATTATTATTCTTGGTAAGCTCTCCAAGGCTTCCTTGTAAAAAAAAAATTGATTCATTGCCTTCTCTATATTCTTCAAGTTCTCTATAGCTTTGAATAGGCGTTTGCAAGCGATTTTGGCTGCTACTACTGCTAGGGTGTCCTGCTATTCTTGAGATCTCTCTTGATCGAATTCTATGTTATCTATTTCCATAGGCTCTYCTTTATCTAGCCTTAATTGATTTGAGTTTATATTTCTCCTTTCTTTGCCTGAATYATTATCCCTATAATCTTTATATGTTGGGTACCTTTGCCCATATTGGTGAAAATTATTATCTCTATTTCCTTTCTGTTGGAWATTTTGTCTAAATTGATTAGAATTGTTATCAACATTTCCTTTATTTTGTGAAAAATTTTGTCTAACTTGACCTAGTCTATCATCTTTACCTATATATTTGTCATTACTATTATTATAGTATTTTTTATTGTTGGTGTATTGTCCGTACTGTCCATATGTTAGTTCGGTTTTTTTAAATTCTGGCCTAATACATGTATCCTCATATCTTCTTTTTGTCATTATCTCTATAATATTATAAAGGTCATTTTCTGTCTAAAAATGTCCCCTGTGTCATTTCTTTAATTGTGTTCACTAAAAGACTGTCCACGTTGCTCATGTCTATCCCTACATCGTCCTTATAATATATTCTAAGTTCATCAGCTTTTTTATTTGATATTTTGTATAAGTATTGCTAACTCACTTACCGTGATTGCCTTTATACTATCGATTACTGAGATGTCGAAAAATGAACTTGATTTAATGATACTAACCGTGCGATTCTGTACTTGAGACGATTTTGTCATTCTGTAAGTGACAGTCCCAAAATCTATTACATTTAATAATTCAGAGATGCTTTATAACTTGAATGAAAATCAATATGTCGATAACAAAAATTAAATTTTCTATAACATAGTCAATAAACATAATTATCAATCAAAATAAAAATATATGTTGACTTTGTTTCATAATATTTTCGAAGTTTTTGTAAAATTGATTTATTTTTAACCTTTTCGTGTTGGAGTTGAAAATCGATTAATATCTACGTTGATCTCTATTCAGTATATTCAAAATGACAGGCAAGAGTGCTTTTTGGTTTTGTGACTTGCTAACTATCAGGTCTCATATTTGAGACAATATTTTGAGGCTAAAACTAGAGACTGTTTAGTGAATAGTAACTAGTCACAAATTGAGATTTTACCACAAAATATCTCAAATAGAGATTAGAGACTGCTTATAGAATCCCGATATAAGCCACATCGAAGCTGGAATTATGAGTAACGAAAAGCTAGAAGTGTATACGCAAAGCTCGCTGGGCGGAAGGAATACGGACAGAGACAGGATACAGAAGTTATGAGGCATAAAATTACATTTACCTTTTACAGAGTACCTGATTGTCGATCGCTTTTCCTTTTTGTACATGCGTGTGGGAAGAAGCGTTACGAACATTTAGTACGTCATTTTGCCGCACAGGGAACAGTGCACCAACATGGACTGGCAAATAAACCGAGTACACATCCAAAGTCATTTAAACCGGCTGACATCGAAAAACCTGTTAAATTTACTGAGTCTATCGCCGATTTAATGGCTCTTCCACTGCCCGGACGACTCCCAAAATTTAAGGATTTTCGGATARTGAAACTGCCATCCAGCAAGACGAAGTCCTCAATTTATCGAAAATACATTTCTTCACTCAGTGATGACGAATTGAAGATGAGTAATCGCAGTTTTCGACGGATATGGTCCAAATACATACCCTACGTTACAGTTATGAAACCAGCGGATGATCTCTGCGATGTCTGCCGTGGTAAGTAGCTCATTATTCGAAATCAATGAGAATATTATCAAAGTTGGTGTAGAAATACTCACCGTCGTCACAGCAGTCGTTCTGTCATTTGATTTTGACCAAACCGTTCACTACCCTGCCAGTCCACAACAACCTGGTACAGCATACTTCAAAGCAACCAAGAGGTGCGGAGTCTTCGGAATTACAGACGAAAAACGAAAAGTTCAGGTTAGAATTTCAAACTGAATCATAGGAACTCAAATTGCTCGCCTTTACAGGATCGTACTTATAATTTTTTTCTTTACAGTACAATTACGTGCTAGACCAAAAAGGTGACGTTGGTAAAGGACCGAACTGTGTTGTGAGCATCCTGCATTATCACCTGGAAACTTACTATAAAGACATTGAAACACTCGTTCTTTTCTGTGACAATTGTGTTGGGCAGAATAAGAATAACACTGTGCTATCATATCTGCAATGGCGTTTGGCTCGGGGTCTTAACAAAACTATTTTATTCAATTTTCTACTTACAGGGCACACTAAGTTCGCGCCTGATCGCTACTCTTTTTTTCGGTACTTTCAAAAGTAAGTATGCTGTCAGTAACATCGACACGTATGCAGATTTACTGCAGTATGTTGAGGCATCATCACCTGGGGGTTATAATAAAGCTGTATCGCCTGAAACAGTCGTCTGGTATGAATGGGACAGCTATTTTAAACTACTGTACAAGTCACTTGTTGGAATAACGCAATTCTATCATTTCATAATCTCTACAGATTGTGTAAAAACAAAGAAATTCGCAGAGAGTGAAGAAGTGTAGTCCTTTAAGCTTCTGTTAAAACATATCGATCCTGAAATGCCGAAAGTTATGCAACCAGCCGGTTTATCTTTGGAACGTCAGTAGAACATCTATCAGAATCTTCCCAGCTTAGTTTCGGATATATGTATCTAAAGTAGATATTGTGGCTCCATTGCCGAAAGGTTTGCCATCGAAGAAACGGAAGGCAAAAACTAGTGAAGATGTTCTCAAACCAGACGAGGAACCAGGTCCATCTTCCTCAGGATTAACACGTAAAAAGGTCTCAAGGAAAACGACAACAAAGAAAATACATAAACTACTCAGCATTATTATTTTTGGCCCATAATTCGTTTTTCTAGTGTATAATCATGTCTTTATAGCTTATAATTCAATGTATTTTGTTCATTACAAAAAATTTTATTTTTTCGTATTTTTACTCTTCTTTCTCTACATTTTTAGGGAACTTTCAAACAAGTTATGACTTTTTGGATTCTATCATGTCATGTCTTCCATACGAATCAACTAAAAAGTGAAAATTGATTTTTTGACACCTAAGCTCCCTTTCCGTAGACCAGGTCACATATATCGATCTGAAACTCTATACACGTTTTTTTCCCCAAGTCCCTCATCCTTACCATCCTTCTTTATGATGCGGCAAGGTTCTTATTTTTCCACTTACTTTACTGCAAAGTAGAGGGTTGCTGTGAAACTTGTGCCTAAATGTTATTAAAATATATTTGGAAATTCACTTGAATTTAATAGCATCCTCATATCAAAGGCTCAGATACATGCTAAAGCCAAATTAAAGTGGACTCACTATCACAAAGAACTGCTTTGACAAGAAATTGCGAAGAAGTGGCAAGCGAAAGAGAAAAACTGAAAAAAAGAGGTGAAGCTTATCTTTAGAAGATGGGAAGGTTAGTACCGAGCGACATAACAACATGCATATAGTATGTTCTATGTATAGAAAAATTTGAAAAGGAGAATCGCCAGCACATGCACGAATGACAAACATATACCCTTCTATATACATACGCACAAAGATGAGCTGTCAGCCCATATCATAAGAAAAGCTAAGTAGTAGGCCCAGAAAAGCCAGACAAACTCCTAAAACTAGCAATAGCTGACGAATACTAACACGTTTAACCAGCTAAGTTGATTAGCTACTTTTTAATGGGCATGGCAAGCCGACAACAAATAACGTGTTGACAACGAGTTAGCATGTGTGGAACGCAAAGCATAAAACAACAAGCAGTATATGCATAAACCATTGAGCGATGAATAGTAAAGTGTTGCGGAAGAATAAAGAAGAAGCTGTAAATAGCAGTAAAAATCGTGTTATATGAGATGTTGCTGTAAAATAGAGGAAACAATAAGAAGAAGAGAGAAATGTTTTATCTTTCACACCTAAATGGAAAATTACACACATGATGAAAACGATTTTTCTTGCCAATGACGAGGACAACACACTTCGTTAAGACGTGGTTGCAAGCATAGCACGACAGACGTTCAAGATGCGCCGCGCGCTGACATGTGAACTAGAATCTCTCATACGACGTGTATACCCGCAGGGCGGAAGCCACGCACAGGCACGCAGAAATATAAAAGAGAAAGTGAAATAATGGTATATATGTACATATGTGCAGTAGCAGAATTTGTGTGAAGAAAGCGGAACTTTGGTTTGTTTTTTATTTTTATAACTTTGCAATCATTCTGTGTATGTTTGTGTGTATAACCGCTATAAATCACTTCAACCAGCCATGTGCTGCTGTCAACTTCCGTTTGTTCTGTTTTGTAAACTCCTTCAATTGAGTTGTCAACGAGTTGCGCAAGTGTTAGCTTGAAGACGGAACTTTTCCAATTTATACCCCGCACATCGTTCACAGCGTACCTGTTTAAGTCAATGCGATATGTATGTGTGTGTTTTTATCTTAAATGGCACACACACGCTCGTGTTCATGTATGCTCTTCGGCAACAACTTGGAATCGCTTGAAATATTCTTTTTATCCTTGACCGCATAATGACAGTTTATGGTGAAGCGGATTGATTTTATCTCCACTTTACATTGGTTTTTAGCAAGTTCTTTGTTTTTTGCGTGTCTTTTAATAGTTCTTTTTTTTAGTTCTTTAGACTTTTTATTTACGTTTTTGTTGTTTCTTCTTGATACTCTTAGTTTTCGCTTAAGGAGTTATACCACTGTAGACATGAAAAACTTGGCGATTTTCGTAAATTTTATTGGATATAATAAGGAATATTATCAGCTATATTTTAAAAGTTTTTTTTACAAAAATGTCCTAAATAAAAGTGCCCCAACCATCTTATCTTTCTTGATCTTAGTCGCCAATGGCGTTTAACGTCCGTATTTTCTTAGTATTTCGATAATATTTCATATTTATGCGGTTTCGCTCATTTACGCTCGTATTTGTTCAATCATCCACAATTTTTCAACAACATTCGCACCCTGTCCACACTTCTCTCTCTGCAATATTCGCTTTGTTACCATTTGGTATCTTCAAATGCTTCGGCTTTGGCTCATACTCCTCTCCTCGCTTCGTATTCGTCATGATATATTTGCTGTGACGGTGATGGATCATTTGCTTAAACAATTTCAAATTCCTAACTCATTCGTTTATATATCGTGCGGCTCTGGCTGTTGCTAGGTCTCCCACAAAGTTTGGAATTTTTGTAATCTTTTTTTGCGAGTTCATGTTCTCGAGGAACACTGTTTCAAAAGAGTTACCTAACTTTCTCCTTCAAATAAATTATACATTTTTTGTTATCAGTGAATTAGGTGTGTTAATTCGCAGAATATAGAATTTAATATTACCAATTTAAAATGCGCCTTTTGAGATGACTTTGTTTTCTTCAGAATTTTGAATATTTATTCTACATTATTTTCTCTTTCGCGTAAGGACATATATATGTAGATGCAACGTTTTCTACCTAAAAATAATATTTTTATACTATATACAAGTATAGGCGAAATCATCTATTAAAATAATATTTTTATGGAAATATCATCAATTTCAATACTAGGTTGCATAATTTTAGGGGCTTGGTTTGTTTCTCGCGAAATCAGCAAGGCGATTTATATTAGGTTGTCAAAAATGTCTTGCGGTAAAATCGCTGAATTGGCCGAAAGAGACCGGCATAGTAGCAGCCGTAGCATCGGTCAAGAGCTGGGCATGAGTCATCAAAAAAAGTCTTATGAACAATTGAAAATTCAATATAAATACCGCAAGACTTTTTTGACAACCTAATATTAGCAACATCTCCTAAGCATTGAATGAAACTTTTCAAATTGAAAATACGGCATTTAGAGGTTTGATATTATTAAAATTAAAGCTGATAACTTCTGAGAAATTGGACTGGAAAACGGCGAGGTAAAATCATCTGAACCACACCATCGTGAGCACTAAATTTTAGAAATGGTGGCTGAATTTTTCTTATGGCTCAAGCAGCTCCTAACTTCCCCTTTTGATGACGACCACGGCAAACGTACTAAGGACTACGATTTGAGGGCGTGTCCTGCCCTTTAATTGGGAAGGGGCCGCTGACCAAATAGTTGATGTCCTTGTTAAAGTGAAGGTTGACCCGCAAACAGAAGGAATGGTGGACGTCGAGAAGCTGCAATCCTACTCTCTGAGAGAACTCGTCAACAACTCGGTATAAGGGAACTGAAAGATGGCATTTCAAACTCCTTATGTTCAACTGCAACCGAAACCATTGGTTTTCGGAAATGCAAAAGAACAGCCGATACGACGAGGAGTACCGTGTCGCAGCGGAGAGAAAGCAGGCTGCCTACCTCGCCAAAATGTGTAAGTGCGAAGAGCTTGACAAGGCCGACAGGCGTAATGCCCAAAAATTCTACGAAAAGATTCGGCGACTAACAGAAGGTTTCAAGACCGTTGCATACTGTTGTAGAACTTCAAGAGGTGATCTAATGACTAATGCCCTGATCATACTAAAATTATGAAGGAATACTTCTCCAACCTGCTGAATGTTAGTGAAAATGCAATACCAGGCGAAACCGATTGCCCAATCGACGACAATGTTCTTCATTTTACCATATATTATATTTATTATATACTAATTATCCCCGAAGGTTAAGGCTTGTCTATAAAACAACAATGTTTTATTACTCGTGCACTTATAAAATAACACATTTGAAGTCGTGAATAACGCGCAAAGAGAATGGCAGATAATATTGCTAACCTATGTATGTTTATGTATAGTATAGTATATATGTGTGTGTGTTTTGCTCACAAGCGAAAATTTTTACTTTATTAAGCTTCATAAATACCAATTGTATTTTGGTGTTGGAGTTGTCTCTTGAAGCATTCCACACAACAACATCTTAGTCAAAAGCCATGAACAAAATTAATGAAGGTGGCAACTCTGTAAGGAAGAGACGATGTGAAACTACAAACAGAAGGGCACGAATTTAACTTGAATCTATTGAAATATTCGAAGAAATAAGTTTTAGGAAAATATTTGCAGAGAGAACTAGATATAATAATATACATATGTATATTTTTGACTTCGAAAAATTTCGACTTTACGTTTTCGGAATTAGGAAGCTATCGTTCTTCGTCTGCAATATAGCAGTAAATAATTTGCGACTGACTGGCAAAACATTTAATAGCAGCAGTTGAAGTACCGAGTGAACGCAGATAATTATATAAAAAGAGGAAAAAGACGATGTGAGAAAGGGAGTGGGTGTATAGTGACGAGCGATTATATAGCAACTATTATAATATACTTATATTTCAACGGAATTTAACTACGAGAAACTCAGACCCTAGAATAAGATTCAGTGAGTACTTTTGTATAGGGCTAATTTAGGGAAATAAGACCTAATAATCAGAAGTTGAGTCGGTCCTGCTCATGTTTAATTCCTTAAAGCGGTATGCTGCGTTTTCTAAGATAAAAAACATGTAAAATTCATTCATTTGGAATATGTAGTAGACATCAGTGAACACTTTTAATTTAAGTTATGTTCCCCAAAAGAAATCAAGCC